TTAAAATGAAGTGGTGATTTTTTAATTGTAGTGAATTGATGGTTATGGTGATGTTTTAATGCAACCATTTGCACACTTTATAAGCATTTACTTACAAACTTCTTTCATCTTGTATATACTGGAGTCGTTCAGGTAAATTGATTGCAATGTAACGCAGAGACACAACTCAACTGATATTACCCACTCAATCCTTCCTCAAAGGTAGTTATATATTTCAGAGAGAGGTTATTTAGTTACTCACTTCTAAATTAGTTTGTCATTATGAGTTATCCCAAGCCTTGCTTTATGTCATTTCAAATTGCAATTACAAACAATTGTGATCGTCGTCAACCCGACATCCAACGTGTAACGCATATACAATACTATTTCATTGCATCGGCAAGAAACGTAGAGAGAGGTTTGGCTTTAAAATCCAGGCAACTACTTTTTCAAATCCCTGCAAAAGCACTAAGCAATTCCAGGCAAATCGGCGGAATGAAGTCGACCAACCAAGTGGCGGCAGTTGCCTCGTTGCGTGGTGCACTTGTGCGCGTAATGAGTTTCAGATCGAGTTTCATTTTTCCTTCATGTTGGTGCGTGGTGGCCTCAATCTCGCTATTCTGGGAGTATAGTCTCCACATTGACCTTCTCGGCAAAGGTTTCCCTCATTTCTCTCGCTCCCATTGATGAATTAGGACACGGAGTTTTCCACAATTTTGCCGATCATTGTCGTCCAACGTGGCCAAGCCCACATTGAATTATCTCGTATTTCGGCTGCGAATTGTAGATATTTTGAACCAATTAGAGTCGAGAGATTCTTTCCGAATATTCATAAAATGTCAGGTTTTGGAATGGTATTACACTAGTTTCTAAATATTTGTCTACCTTGTTCGCATTTCGTCAAACTATTGAAAGTTTGATTATGAATGTTCAAAACTAAATAACATTTCAATCGAAAAAACTGAAGTTCTTCATTCTACTTTTCAAAAAGTAGAAAAATAGCAAAAAATAGGAAATACGAAATTAAACATAAAAATACCTTGAGCCTAACTTGCCTGTGTGTGTGTGTTATGTATAAATATTTTTTATTTTGTCGTAAGTCCCTTTTTACTTTCTCGTATACGTACGTATAAACGGAGTAATATACGTAGTAAAGAGAAAATTATAAAGTCTTGCGGATAATGGATTTCAAGATTTCAACAGAAAAAAAAGCTTTGTGGTTCCCTGATATCGAAAAGTGTTCTTCAAAACGTCCGTCCATCTGGTCGCCATGTGACAGCACTTGCGTAGAAACTATTGCAATTTTTTTCTTCGAAAGTGACCCAAATATTTTCTTTAATTTTTTTGTTAGAATAGAGTAAAATTCACTTATACAGATGGCAGAGATCCGATTTTTACGGTTAATTATAAATTTTTGAAACTTACAAAAGTTTGATTTTTCCGGCGTCTCCTCACAACTACAAAATTGTATGTTTTATCACTTTTTTGAAAATGTAGTAATTTTTGTGTAATGTGAAATATATGAAATTTAAAAAAATCAATTAATACAAAATTTTCTCGGACACGGCTTGAAGTTTATTCTTTAAATTTTTGCTAGAAATATTGCTAAATGTTCTGTATTAAGATGACATAAAGGCCATATTGCTGTATTATTTTGTTGTTATTTTTTTCAAAAATTTTAATTGTAGTTTTCTATCACTATCTTGTCCTTAATATATATGTATATATTAGAGACTGCTGACAAGAGAGTGGGGCAAAACCGTAAAGTTAGCTTGGCCCAAAGAAATTTAGAAATGAACTAGTACGAGAAAGTCTGTGGAATTCTGTATCATCACAATATCTGATGCATAACTACGAGGAATTATGTTTTAATGTACTGCTGTATTTTTTACATGTCTCTTGTTTCTTTCCAGGTAAGACTGAGCACAATGTTTGGGGTTAAGCGTACGTGCCTGTGATGTAAGTAGATCATACTTTGATATAATTAATACTTATAAAACGTGCATCTTGTTTCAACTAAATTTTACAATTTTTTAAAGTAATATAAACCCATAAAATAATTTAAATTTTTAAAAACGCATTTTTTTACAAGAATGAGTTGTTACTAGATAATATTTTCCAGCACGAAAAACATATTTGGAAAACTGAAATCAGGACATTGCTACATGTATGTCACCTAAAGATATTTCTGAATATTTTGTGTCCATAAATTTGGCAGCTCTTATCCGAGGAAGTTGTAGATAGTGTGTAACGCTTTAAAATTGAAAATAGATATAAATTTAACTTTATGTCGTTAAACAGTTTAAACAGTATGTCATCTTTAGTGGTTAATGCTACATTAAGCGTACGTACGTTAATTAATTCCCACTTCATATTTTGAGTCCCATTAGTCATTAGATTTAGCACACTCGGATAAATACAATTGTGGAACCATGATTTCTGAAACCAAAGTACTTGAGATGCTATTGATCCAGACTGTATTATGATCATCCGTAAACATGATTTTATCAGATTATATATTTATTTAAAATTGTATGGTGAATTTACTTTAAATGTCTTGCCATGTAAACACATTAGCTTTGTATTTTTCATTATTTAAATTGTTGACACAAGTGATAATTTTTCAAATAGTTTCGAAACTCATGAGGTCTATATTAATAATACAAATTACGCTTATTATGCTGTTAGTGTAACTCGGCGTCTGCATGAATTTTATGCTTTGTATTTTTTTATTCAATCATTTGCTCTCGAAAAGGGTATTTGAATTACATAATGAAGTGAGATTATTGGTATGTAATGAAGGAGGTCTGAATGTTTTATAAGAAGAGAGAAAAGCTTGATAAGATGATCTTCGTGCTGCTCTGCCATTAGACGTTAGGGAATGAAGAATCAGCATGAATAGCGAAGAGTAGATGTATGATTGACCCATTTGCAATTAAAGTACTTGTTTCATATGTATGGCAGCCTTGCAAGCGACAAATGACTTCAGCAATGAAATTCTAGAGATCCACAGCCACCTTCTGGGAGGCTGTTTACTTCTTCTCTAACTACTCATTACAAGGACGTCCTTGGGTATTCAGTGCACACGATTGAGAGTAATCTTAAATGCTGAATCGAGCTCTTTAAGATGGTTTACACGGCAATCACCCTCGACCTAATAAACAGTGCATCAGGGAGCAAGTATTTATTCTATGGGGTCTATGGAGCAGAAGAGCTGCAATCGCAGAATTGTAATAAGAAGAGCAGTATCGGCGAGCGGCGTCGCAGAGCGGGGCTGGGGATTGGCGGCGGGGATCGGCGATGGGGAGCGACGGCGGGGAGCGACGGCGGGGAGCGACGGCGGGGAGCGACGGCGGGGAGCGACGGCGGGGAGCGATGGTGGGGCGTGGCGTCGGGGAGCGGTGTCGGGGAGCGGAGATCACTTCATGGCTGGGGATCTACGTTTGAAACCTGTGGGAATGCTGTGAAAAGACAGGAGAAATGGAGAAAAACAATATGGAATACAAGGGATGCTGTGGAAAGGGACACGAGTTGAGAAGAGGGCGGGAAGATAAAGAGAAGATGGAGAACGGAACGGAGAGCGGGGGCGGATCACGAGTGCCAGGAAAGCAGGCGGGGCGACCCGTGCGGTTGGGGAGGGGGTGGGGACGGCGCTGTGGAAGGGCGTGGCGGAGCGTTGGCGGGGGCGTGCCGAACGCACTCCGCCAGATTGCGCTTGTTGTGCGCTGGAGCAGCGGGCGGGCGTCCCCTCGGGTCGGGCGGCCGCCTCTCGCGCACGCCGCCGCCGCCGCCGCCGCCGCCTCCCGCGTAGCGCCGCGTGTGCTGGCAACTAGATTCGTAGTTTTCGCTTGATTGCGGCGAATTGCTCAACGTCTTCCCTCCTAGACGGGGGTCTTGCGCTTCAATTAGTGCGAGAGAAAATAGGTCCGGCCGACCTCCTTCGATTCCGCTTATTACATCTAAGAAAAGATCGTAAATAAATTACACATTTTCTTGGCTTAGGTCTGACGCATATGGATTGCTCACATGCCTAACTCATATCCAATTCTGAAGTACGTCTGAGAGACGCTAAAGTGAACGTTTCACGTGAAAACGTGAATTGCAGACCGAAAGATCTTCTCACATACGTCGACACTTGGTAAAATTTCATGTGCCAGCTGTTTCATGCATGTGAATGAAATTATATCAGTATATTTGAACATATTGATTAGTGATACGACTATTCTATTTGATGTACCGTCCTCTAAATTACTCACAGTTTACAAAACAATGTACTACAAGGCAAATTATAATGTCTGTATGAACTGAATTCACAGAAATATCCTTGCTCAAGAATGAATTGCTTGCCGCCGGTAAATGTTCGGAATTCATTGTTCCGCAACTTAAATGGTAGCTTTTCAAATGGAAAATTTGTTTTAAAAAATCATTGGTACAGATATTAATACTTATAACAGATGTATACTCTTATTTAATGCAGTGAATGACCCGGATAATTTGTAATTTCGTTTCCCCATAATGACTTATTCACAGTTAGTATTTGTTCAAATTTGCGTGGGATTTACATTCGTAAATCAATATGTATCTGCAACGTTATGAACATTGACTTTGTTATAAGCATGATAATCACAATAAAAATTACTCTGAGAGAATTTATTAACATAAGCATGGTGCTTTTGATGTCTTTGTTCCATCTCAGCAAATATCTTTTCGATACCATCGTTTATTCAAAATCAGGGCAAGAGCGTGCTCAATATTGGAACAATGGTGAATGAGGCAGAGCATCTTGTTATTTGTTCATCCTGAATACTGGCTTGTCTCCTTTTCAGTCTCCCTCCACTGGAAAACTCTTCGCTATGGGAAAACTTTGCACCCACTTTGTACTGAAATTCTTCTAATGTCTTCAGTATTTGGTACACATTCAGATCACAAATAATAAATACGTAAACCTTTCCTTTTTTGAGCTAACGGACAGAGCAACAGCCGCTATTACAGCGCAACACCTCAAGCGAACAGTAGATGCAATGCGGACACATACTATAAGCAAAGCGAACCATGTCTGTCATCGTAAGGCTGGTAAATGCAGAAATCTATGCAGTCAACCTCCAGACAATTAGCAGTACAGATACAACTTCCAGATTAGTATGTATACTTATTTGCTCTCTTTGTCTCGTATGCATGGAATGATGATTCAAAAAAAGCGTTCCGAAAACGTGTACGATCTTGATTGTCCGCACATAGGTCACACTAAAGGCATATTAAAACAACGCATGCAAGTATATGAGAACATTACGATCTCCAAGCATAGATTACATTCTCAACATCATTTTGATACCAAGCGAATTGAATCTCAGAAAAATTGTTTGTTAAAACGTATGGCACACTCAACACTAACACAAGGGTTTAATTTCTTAATGCTACCCTACGTTAATGTGTTTAATTAAAATAAAAATAGTGAGAAAAATCGTATATACATATATGGAGGATTGGCGTTGATCAGTTGTGGTGCGGGTGTCTCATTGAGACCTTCCTTTCCAAAATTGAGTCTGAATGAAGTCCGTGCGCGTAAACCCGCGCACCGGCCGCTCAGCCGACAGCCTTATGTTCGAATCTTAGTATTGTGTGTCACTGCTCGATCACAACATATTCCTAGTATCTCTGTCGTTACTTTGTGCTTGTAGAAAGGAATTTTGTAGAAGACTCAACATTTTTGTACCTCAAGGACGCATTTTAAATGTCTGTAAGTTCATTTATACATCCGTGTTTTTAATTATTGGATTACGTCTTTTAAAATATTTTTTGACTAAAGGTAAGTACAGGTAACTATACTCGCCAAGTTTCTTTGTGCTTCGTACTTGCTAATAATTATCTTATATTCTAATCATTTAAAGATCCTTATTTTTGTAATTATTTAAAAAAAATTATATATTTATTTTTCTTGACATCTTTGGTCCGAAAGGTCAGGTCACATAAAGCAATGAAATATTCTATTTTGAATTTAAAAAATTGTTCGTATCAATAACGATCTCATAGCTCATAGTTTAAAAAATTGTTTGACTAACATTAATTAATTGTTGTAACCACCTATAATTGTAACATCAGACAATCAGTTGGCTACCTTTATCCGATAATTTGGTAAAATATTAATATTTCACATCTCCACCCATTTTTCGAAACATGCGCTTCAGGGTCAATTTTTTTATTCGTTTCAGATAATGTGGGCCAGGAGTGTGCCTGTCCCAGCTTCAGATTTCCGGTAATTGGAACAATTTATGGATTGCAGGCTTTTTTTTGCCAATTATACAATTACATGATATCACTAGAGTTGTTATCTCCATTGGTAGTCACGGTATTTCTTCATTAGAAACGTCTTTGCTTCCTGGGTTGGGAAAATTGATATTATTATTATTATTATTATTATTATTATTATTATTATTATTATTATTATTATTATTATTATTTATTATTATTATTCCTAAGTTTCGCAATTCGACAGTTGGATGTGCGGGCGTCACTATTAATTTAGCAGCTGCAGAGTCCCTGAGTGAGGGAAGAACGCAGCCGCCAGCACCCACCCAGCCCCCCGTTAGGCCCCCGTCAGGTGATGGGAGGTCCAAAGGAAACGAAGCACGAAGAATGAATAGTAAAGATGGGAAGAAATAACAAATCAGAGTAGGTAGAAGAACGTGTACAGACCGTTTTTGCGTGGGGTTCTGTGAGTAAGCAACCAGTGTACAACATTAGGAAGTCTGGGATATTATAATTGAAATAGCGGCCCCTAGTTACAAAAGGTACTCATCAGTACTAGTACAACGCCTATGAAGTGTCCTAAACCCTACCACTCTCCTTTTTACTTCCCAATTTAAAAAAGACTGGCATCCAACTGCTTTGATTATCCTTTTAGAGGGATTCCAAAAATTGCACGCGATCTACGAGTATGTTACTAGTACTAAAGGAAAGTTACATTAGACTGAGACACAACATAAACTTTTTTATTCTTTGAAGGGCCGTGAACATTTTAACGAATCGAATGTGATATTTTGCAGTCTCTAATTGCGATGATTCTCGAACGATTTTATCCCATCACCTCAATTATGTAACTACATTAGTTTAGTGAAAAAATGGCCTACGATAAGTCGCAATGAGCTGATCTCGGAACCAAAGTTATCGCCATCTCCAGTCACAACTTTGTTTCACAAACCACAAATTCGATATGCTGTGGCAGGCATTCAAACTTCATCATACAGAAGAGCGGGTGGAATACGTTATGTGTGTGTGACACCTTCTTGCCCATGAGTCACATGACCTGCGGGAGAACAATAAGAATGAATGAACACCACATGCGTATGTCTGGCGCGCTTTCGTGTATTGTTCTTGTTTCCTCCTCCTGGTCCACTTCTTCTCTTCTTCTTCCCATTACTTCTCATTGCTTCTTCTTTTTCATTGAGCGGCGTTGCGGTGCACACGCGGGCTGGTAATCCTAAGCTGTTCATCTCCCAGCGGCGGGCGCGGCGGAGGCTCTGAATAATGCAGCGCGCAGATGGGCACCCGCCCACCCCCGCTCCCCTCCCTCTCACCACTCTGCTCCTTCCCCTCCCTCTCCTCTT